TTTAAAAGACAGCGAAGCCTATATCTTGTCTGGTTTTAAGAGTCGAAAGAAGATTAAACGTTTTGAGACACTAATTAAGACTCCGTCGTGGTGTTCCTTAAAAAGGAGGATAGTAGTTGGTAATTTAGAATTACTTCGGTCTCGAGAAGGAGTCATGGGGCAGAGTGATCGGTGAACGTTCATCAACCAGTGTCAATATATCACGATCTAACCCGGCAAGACAACGGGATAATTAGGGCGTTAGTCTTCTGATAAATGTCGCGAGTCCGAGTCTCGGGTGGTACACCACTTCCGGTTGAGTATACCTGGCTGACGGCGGTAAATGAGCCAGAAATGGCTATTGCCAATCTCCCTTGCCTTTGTCGGCAATGCTATCTATTGCGGGATAGCGAAGGGGCAAAGGGCTTACAGCAGGTAAGGAGTGAGTGAACTTTCGGTCACATGGACGAATTGATAGGTATGGGTAAGAAATAGGGATGGTTGAGCACCGATTCACTTTGGTTATAATCCTGAGCTTTCGAATTCTAACAGAAGTCCATCATCAGAGATAAGAAACATCAACAAAAGAGTGGTTAGTTATAGTATGTGTACACCAGTCAACTATCAAAGGTCATCAAGTCATGAGGGGTAAGAAACAGCGATCAAATGGAGGTGGGGGCAATTAACCGTCAGTGATTTCAACCTTCATCAGGGCGTCAGCAACGAATATGGGGCAAAAAATGGAGGATGTGGGCACGATTAACCGCGACGGACGTCTGGCCGTGATTGAACTTAATTGTGGAATTACGTACCTCCTCTATAATCCCCTATAATTGCCGTATTTCGTTTGTTGACGCCCCGACGAACGTTGAAATCACTGACAGTTAATTGCCTCCCCTCTCCCCCCCCCACTTTCATCACTGTTTCTTGCCCCTCACGACCTGATGACCCTTGACAATTGATTGATGTACAGGTACACTATAAATAACCCCCCTTTGTGGATGTTTCTTAGCTTTGACGATGGACTCCTGTAATTGTTCGAAAGCTCAGGATGATAACCAAAGTGATCCGGTGCTCAACCATCCTTCTTCCTTACCCAGGCAAATACCTGAAACTCGAGGGTTCACCTTCAGTTGATAGTTGATTACGTCGATCGATGGCCACCGATTCTGCTGCTGTGGTTACCTTGAGTGACGACTTAGCAGGCGATAGCCCATTGGAAAGTTTTGATAGACGACGGTTTGTGTCAGCCAGTTTCGCAAGGGCTTTGTCCTTCCCTTGTTCAACAGCTTTAATAGCTGCGTGATCTTTCGGGGCTGTTACTAAACAGGTAAGAACCGAATGGGCCTGCCGGCGTTTCTTCGCTGCTAGCGATTATCCTTTGTCACGCTGACTGTGTGCGTAAGTAGCTAACTGCGTCACCGCAGGGGGTCTCAGGTGTGCTAACACGCATCAATCCCATATCCCTCCCCCTCTTTCGCGCCCACCCGAAACTTGTGTTCGCTAGACTGCTGTCGAGCGGCTGTAGCCGAAAATAGACTACTACTCTGGCCATCTGCTAAGCTGAGCGGCGTTCAGTAGAGATCAAAAACTCGAAGAATAGGAGAATAGCCTGCTTCAGCAGCACACAATTTTACTTTTATCCGTAATTCTGACATTGTGTGTGTGTCTGAAGTAAGCCAGAAAAGATGCTGTATCGGCTGGTAAAGTCGCACAAGGGGACTGCAGTTTGCTTAACGGAATCCAATCTGATACCAAGCGCCAAGACCTGCCGAAACACGCCAACGGTAGATGAAAATACTTCCAAAACTGACCAACAATTATAGAGGGACGCTGGCTGTGTCACACACGAGGGCGTAAAGTCCGAAGCTTCATGCTGGATGAAGGGATGACAGGTTATTAGCTACTGGAACAAGAAGTTTATTGTCCCTCGTTTCGCATAATCTTTATTAAACATACTCATCAAACCCTATCGTAAATAAGGGTGTGCGGGTGCTTCTGATGATAGATTCAACTAAGACTCCAAAATTTCAGACTAGAAAACGTTTTGTTCAGCGTCGTCTGGAGATCGCGAGTTCGATTCTACCAATTATGAACTACATTCTCAGTTATTCCGGGAATTGTTGGCAGTAAACACCTTTATGGCAGATGGTCACCTCGCCAGGATTTACTAGCAATAGAACGAAAATTGTTCTTCACGTCTTTGAGTTCTCCTATCACGTACCCCTACTTCGACCAAGGCAAATATCGGTGATGCAGACCTAAACACCAAATCTGTAAAGCCTGGATGAACCCAGTAATTGTCGACTGTGTAATTACAAGAAAACTAAATACAGTGAAACCTCGGTTAACTAGTTTAATCCGTCCCGGTACCGAGTGCAACATGTGAAACGCTCGTCTTACGAAACGTAGCCAATCAAATTGCATCAGGTTACTGGTTGGCTGCAGGCGACCGTAGACCCGCACCCTGCAAGTAAGACTCAACGGGGAACACAAGAACTCAAAAGCATAGAGAACTCGCTAACTGAGAGAAAGCTCGTCAAGCGAAACAAATTGTCTACTAGGGGCTCACTAGTTACCTGAACTGCTCGTAGACCGGTCTGCTCTTCACCCGATGCTTCACTGTACACACCGTTTTGAATCAGCAAATCCTCTTCCCTGTGTCAGGTCTTATATGCAAAAATTATTCTGCAGTTAGCAATTGTTACATTAAAAGTAACTGGCAAGAGTTTTAGGCAATCGTTTACTTTCCTTCAATGCGGTTGTTGTTTCAGCCCGCTGCAAAACGCGACCTCCCAATGTGGCCAATGCTATTGTACGCTTCTACAGTATGAGCCACGGTTCGGTGGTTCGATATCAGTGCCTACCGGGGTTCGCTCTTGAGGCCTCAAAGACGGACACCGGACCGGAGGGCCTGCTTTCTCATACGGAGTCTGAGGAGGAGAAAGTGAAGAGAGACCTGGTCTGGGGCACGCAACATGAGCTGTATAGTGTGCGCTGTGAATTTGGTGAGTGGAGAGGACGCCGACCGGAGTGCGTTCCAAGTGAGTTGCTCTTTTCGATTACATGATTTCTCTCAACATTACTCCAAGTAATTGCCAATTCCAGCTATGTTTGTTAAAGTATGGTGAATCGATAACAAGGAATTCCTTAATCAAATGCCAGGAAGAATGAGTTGTTAGCACAGACTATACTCTTGCCGGGGATATCAGTAGGTCAGGAGGCGTCAGGAACATAATTGTTACAGATCGGAGATCCATTTGCTAATAAACACACGAGGTAGAAAATGTGAACTGTCAGTTGAGTACGTTTTCTATCGCCGCGTTGAGTAGCTCGCCAAAGGAATGTACTTGCCTTCCAAATTTAGTACCTCAGACGGAGCTGTAAAAAGGCCGGCACTTATCCTTCCACGGTGCTCGTTAAATCAGACCAATATAGAATCGGGGTGGACTTGTATTATCCCTAAACGTATCCTCGTATCAGATAGGCATAATTCACGAACAGGCCTGAAGGAGATGTTTTCCAGCTTATAAAAGTGAAAGAGATACGCTTTACTTTAAAAATATCACTTGAACATTTTGCGCAAGTCGTCCCCATTTACCAGAAAAACAATTAGTTCCACAAACTCACAACACCGGAAATCGATGACTGCAATTGTCGACATCGTGGATAATGCCCTTGGATAGTTTATCATATATAGGCCAACGTGGACTGTGTTAAAAACGGCGATAGCGTCGTACGATGATGATCTCATTATGGTTTAAATAAACAAAGGAGGATAAAAATTGGATTATAACGGGCGAAGTAGGCCAACTGACTTATATATAAGAAAATTTACATGTGAAAGTAGAAAGACGGCTCAATTTGAAAGGCCCGCATACACTCGGTTGCTGACCTCAAGTGACAATTTTCTTCGCAGAGACTCGTAGTAGACCGTCGTTTGTTGCGTGAAGACGGCAGAGGCATGAATAAGGCTGCTGTGATCAACCTGCTATCCGACTGCGAGTTTTGCGCTTGGCGGTAATTAGAATGCAAAAGTTGAATTTTTTTCCTATTTTCTTTTAAAAATATGTTGTCCAGGATGTTCTTTTTTCAAAAATATATACGTGGGCGTGTGAGCCTTCATTTTATTGTATACTGTTCGAGCAGTGTTTGACGTTGAGACGATGCTGCGTGGCCTTCTGTTTGGTAAAGAGCGGGAATAACAATCGCCATAAAACCCACGTTAAGAGGTTGGCTACTGAAAGCATCTGTGAATATAAATAATACGTGTGATCAACATATTGTCCTTTTCGCAGTAGAAACATTCTCTTTCTGCCGTGAAAACGACGTTTCTCAATTGGAGACAGTCCAATAATGATAATTATAATTACTTGTTTAGCCGCCTAGACAGAAAACCCAAATAATAGAAGTGACCCCATTCAAAGCTGACTATTAGCTGTAAAATAAATGTCAGACATAATTCTATAGATATGACTAACCCTGAAATTAAACCTTACTTATCTTAAACCCAAGCCTATTTTCCGTGGAATTTGGGGCGAAGACACTTCCATTGTATAAGTTTCCTGTTCTCATATCCTGTTTAGGGGGGGTCCCATCGGTCATCCTCACCGGTGAATATCCCTGTGATTTTGAGAGGGTGTTAATCTAATAGCATGCAAGTGCTGTCGTATGGATTAACAAAAAAATATGTGTTGAAGCCGAAAGCTCGGCCGTTTACTTGCAACCCACACAATCTGATTTAGGCAGATTTTGATTATGTTTTTCTATTCACGAAAGAGTGATCCGGGACCAAGGTAATGCACTTAGTTTGGCCACCTGTGTGCTAAAATGCTGCTCAAAGTACGGTCTGAGTACGTGCCACCACGAACGCATACATCAAAAGCTGTCATAAGTGCGTCATACTGTTAACCGAGATGCCTTCAGTTGACATATGCTGCAAGCTGATCTTTTTAGGGCACCTACAAGGACAATCTCTGTTCATTTTAGCTATGCGGAGGCCAATTCCATTGTGGGCGGTTCATCTTCTTATGGAATTTGAGTACAGAGTGCTGATATGCCGATGTAAGGCAAGACATATGTCGAAAACTTCCGCGTATAGTACGAGAAGACTTCGCAAACACTAGTTCGGAGTGGAGGTGATGTGCAACCTTATGAAGAATGCAACCAGCAACTCACTCGATCGTTTTTCAGTGTCGCTGTATTATTATATCAGCCGAAAACATAAGAAAAGCACCCGCAGCTGAATAGAGTTTTCGGAAGATATGTTTAAAAATTAGCAGCATGACTGGAATAATAATCCGAGAGGAGAATGCAGGTACTTATACGTCGCCCGATTAGGACTTCCGGACAGTGATGTGAACGTAAATGACGGACTTCTGATTTGTTAGTAGAAGACCAGATGCTCACCTGATAAAAGACACGTTATTTTGTACAGATTTAAAAAAAACAGCTGCTGAAGGGGAAAGCTCGGTTGTTGACTTGCAGCTAGCACCATGCGAGGTAGGTGAGCTGCTCAGTTCACGTACAAATGATCCGCGATAAAAGTAATTCACCTCATTTGGCCAGTACTCGCAGAAGTCCCAATTAAAAGTGAGTAGGTGATGCTGAAGCGCAGGGGAGTTTGCGATGGCCCATGGACATGGGAAGAAGCGTAGGTAAACCGATGGTGCAAAGGAGCGGGGGAGGGAGACTGACTGCTAAGCCGACCTAAGGGCCGTAGGGTTTATTCACACGACCGACTGCTGGAGGACGGAAGGCGAAAGCCGAGTTTTAGTCGCGTTCGGGGGGTGGGGGTGGGTAAGGCAGAGGAGGCGAATTAGTCAGGCCGAAGAATTAACGTGGGGAGGGGGTGGAGCATGCTGGGGGAGGGGGCTAGGACGGCGCCGACGGGCCATGTTACGCGCTGTCCGTCATTGAATCTGGTCATGCGTAGGTAGGTGGATTTGCTCGAATGAAAGCCGGCGGTGGGAACAACACAGGTGTATTTGAGAGGTTGACGACAGACCTTGTCATCCCCAGGTGCGTTCTGATACTGCAGCCGTTATCCTGTTCGCCTCTGACGGGGGATGGCAATCGAGGTTGTTGACTTGGTTGGGACTTGGCCAAGTCAAACGGAACACTGTACCTTTTAGTGACGCAACTGCTAAATTCCCGTTGAAAGCCTTTGCCACGGGTCGGGAATGTATGGCTCGCAAGCCAGCTGTGGCTCTTTTGATGATTGCATTTGTCTCTCTCACATAAAATTGGAATAATAAACGTTAGATTCGATGATTTTGGTTATTAAAAAATCCAGAGGCATATTATACTCACATTTAGTCAAATTCAATCGTAAAATATGTTATATGACTCCCACTGAAATATATTTCGAAACGGTTGCTATGAGTGCAGTTGGAATTACCGTTATTGCCATTAACAATGCCAAATAAATAAAGCATTATACTGTAAACATTGAACTGTCGTCTTGACTCATGCTAAATCCTACTTAATACGCGGTATGCCCGTGAAAGTACCTCCCTAAGTAGAGAACAATTCTTACCCTGCCGCATGCCCTATCCCTTCTTCTAGTCAGATTCAGTGAGCAACGTGAAACGAGCAGTACTTACCAGCTGCAATTTTAGACAGTTGCGTTAGTGCGTCCGCAGGATTCGGCAGCTGACTGTCGATTACAATTTGCATTATAATCTATCAAAATCGTTTGTACTGCCCACTGAACTCTTCTGCTGACGGAAAGTTTCACTATTCTTAATGGCAGATTCAGGGTTGACGTCCGAAAAGGCAGTTCTTAGGAAAGTAAAGTGATATATTACCTTTGCCGCGCCAGTTTGCCGAATTTTAAATTCCCGATGAAAAGTTAGACATAGGTGAGCTTGCCCGCATTGGCTTAGCGACAACCGTAATTTGCTAGCTCAAATGTGCATAGCTTGTCTTTAAGAGCGCCTTGAAAAGACCATATCTGCAGCAAAAAACCAACTGTAGGTAGCTCCGTTAACAATCTGACACATTTACGAAAATATCTGATGTTCAAGTGATCCAACTGTGAAAACTTCGCGGTCTCAGTGGAAGACGAACCCACACAACAGGGAGGTCGTTTGCGCAGGCAACGCTCTACCACTGAATTACGGGGGTCACCCTGCGCCGCGAATTTACTCCCATTTGGATCGATTTTACCTGCCCAACTTACAGTTTGAATGGAATCCACCATTATAGAACAGTAAACTGACTGCCCAGGCAGACTTTCCTCAACAGGCATTAAGAATGCACCAGAATGACCACTAGGCTCACTTAATTGTTAGGGAGTTTTGGCAGATTTACTTAATTCAGTTGACTGAATTAAACGAATCTGCCAACTCCTCCCCGCTAGTTATGTCTGATGTAGACGTGCGTGGTGGCGGGGTGTACACAGACCGTGTTTTAGACAATTCTAATGAATTTGGTATTAAGTAGATTTATCGGCGGAAAGTGTGTTCAGTATAGTGGTGGAAAAACTGGCGGCTTCAATGGTAAAGAAAAGCACTCGGTCTGATATGCAGTACA